TGGCTGCATATAAACAGATATTAGAGTAGTACTTTTCAGTGTTTATTTCATTTTTCTTTAATGGTGTTCTGGAAATTACTAGATTCAACTTCACCAGTTTTTAATTTGTCAACTTATTTTTCATCAGTTGCCCATACTGTGAAGGTCTTAGGGGTGAGAGATAAGGTTTGAGATATCTTTTTCAGTTGATGATAAATTTTTTTTTATGACCTTCTTTCTGAAGATATTTTCCTTTTTCAACATTTGAATAATTTTAATGATTTCCATCAACCATGACACTTCTTTCATTTAGGTTTGAAATTTTTTGAAATGTGTTGGCGAGATAGAGAAGAGACCTAACTCAGTACTCTGTTCTACAGGAGTTTTCTGTCATCTAGTTTGTGTAGCTTAGAGAAAGCTCGTCTTCTTCTCTCTCATTCTTTGTAAGTCAGAGATTGAGGAATTAAGAACAAAGCTTTGGGATGGGATATGAAGATGTAAATAGGAATGGCCATTTAGGCCTGAGTTGCAGGAAGTACAAGACTATGATTTGAATGCACTGTGGTGTGGTGGGTGGAAAATACAGGATACAATTTAACAGTGAGCTGGACTGCATTAGTTCCCTTCATGGAACAACCTTTCTGATATTTAAGTTTGGTTGTATAGATTCAAATTAGTTGCATCCTTTACCTGTTTTTCTGCTTCCCTCTAAATCCCTTCCCAAGAAAATTGTGGTAGCTGCACTGCTTTTTTTGTGCACCTAAATTTTGAGGAGTTGTAGCAATATTTTTTTAACTATGTAATACATTGACCCTTATGGCAAGATAAATATTGAATAGTCCATTATTGTGCATTGGTACTTTGAGGATTAATGAGTGTATATGCACAGGCAAGAGAATGAAAGCAAATCTGTCTACAGAATTAGGCTATGTTTAAGGATACTGAAATTTCTGCCAAACAAGGAGCAGAGTGAAATTTCATCTGCCACTTACGTTGTTCTTAATGTTCTTTAATTTAGCAGACAAGATAGTTTGGTTATAATTAAGCTTTTCTAATATTGTTGTTCCACAAGGTTGTGGCATAAATCACTTTATTTTGTCATTTTCTGCATCCTCGGTCTCCATTTTTCTTGTATAATTCTTCCATAAACAATCTTTGGGATGCCAAAAAGCTTTGTGTTGTCAATTATTTCTTGTGTATGTAATATAATTTTGAGTATATGCAGTTGAATTTTTTTTCTTGAGTCTTAGGGTGSTGTTTCTTGCCTTGGCATGCATCCCTTCCTGCAGCAGTAGCAAATGTTTCTTTTCCAGTACAATTCTCATGGCAATTTCTATTACTCCTGGCTGTTTTTTCAACAGGTAGACCTGGCAACTAGGCTGAATTGCTCAACAGTTGCTACTGAAGGATAAGGGACAGTGGGCACACTGAAAGAGAAGAAATTACGTTTAAACCTAAGAAAAAGCTTTTCTTTGTTGTGGCTGAACACTGGTTGAACATTGAAYGGGTCTCCTGGGGGAGGTGATGGTGTCTCCAGCCTTGGAGATGTTTTGAACCTGGCCTGTAGCAAACCACAGTTGACCCTGTCCTGACCAGGGAGTTTGGATTGGGTGATGTTCAGGGTCCCTTCCCAACTCAGACACTTTCTGAAGCCGTGAAGTGAACAAGTTCGTCTTAGCGGCAGTTCACTTCAAGACTGCCACATCTTGTAGTTTCTCTTTGTACCAAGTTATGCAACAGAGCAAGTTTTAGTAATTCTTTCCTGCCCATCTTTTCATCATTTTTGTCCCCAAAAATTTCAAARCCAAACCTTAATCAACCCTTACAATCTTGGACCATATTTCCCRAATCTTCAGAAAAATACCTTCCAACTTGTGTTCCAGATATATTAAATTTACTGTTCAGGCTTTACTACAGCAAAGCTTAGTTGAGAAAAGACATGTTCAAGACTTGTTACACACAGGATTAATTTAATGTGAATATAGATTTTATTTGGGAGAAAATACSTTTTTTCAAACATCCTTTTCAGATTTAAAGACCATGAGGTACCATAGAAATGGTAGCTCTTACCTGCAAGAGGTTTGCAGATTCTCTCTCTTCCGTGAGTGTAACTCTGTTACATGTTTTGCACCTGACTTTTCTGTTGGAATGAATGAGCTAGTAAAGACCTGAGTTTCCCAATTTGGGTAAAACCAAACACATAAATAATCAAATACACATACTGGCATAACATTCAACTAGTGTCTTCAATAGAATGAAAGATATTTCTTAGAAAACTGTYAACCCACTAAGAAAACAACTTCATGAGACAGAATGGGAGCACTGGACAAATTCAAAACCCCGGTGCATTGAGGTAGAACAGAAGAAATGGGAAACCCATTCCAAACTCTTTTTTTTTTTTTTTACTTTTTTTTTAAACAGTGTGAACTTTTATTCTTCTTAGCCTTTCTTTCAGTCTTAACCATTTGACTTCATAAATAGCATTCTCAACAATAGGACTTTTATTAATGTATTCCATGGCCATGTAAGAACTTACCATAGTCATACACTACTTCAGTTATCTTACTGATAAGTAGTTTCTATGATTTCTTGTGCTTGTGAAGTCTCACCCTAATAATACCTGTGATTGTAAACCTTACAACACAACATGCTCCTCCCATGAGTAAATTAGGGAGATAAAAGATCTTCAGTATCATTTGTTTTCTTATGTGGAGTGTTTTGTTCTCTTCTTAACCTGAACAAAAAATTCTCATGCTGCAACAGAGTAATTTTGGGTACRGTGCCAATACTTGATATAACATTAATCTGAAACAAGTTTCTGAGACTTTACACCATATTATTTCCATTATGAGAGAAATTGATACGATATCATAAAGCTTATGTTTGCCCACACTATGTATAAACATGGTGCAWGGTATTTAATTACATGGTGGCTAAAACTACATTTAGGCATTCCTTGTCTTTTAGGAACAGAGCTTACTGTTTTACTTGRGGATGCCTTTCCTTGTTTCTTCTTCTTGACCTTTTTTAATTTTTTTTTGTCTCCAGTGATACTATAGTTGTGCAGGTTGTCTTWCATCTGGTGCTAGTAATTATGACCTTTCCCATTCCAATGTTGTGTTAGTGCAAGAAGAGGTAGTTGCACATTTCTTCCTCTGCCCTCTGCTAGTTTAGGAACTTTCTCTTATTCTTCATGCCTGGAACATATTATTTTGTATACTACCTCATATTGATCTAGCTTGTCACCATCTTAAAAGAAAACAGCTCACTCCTGCTTTGGATTAAAAAAAATAATAAATGGAATTGTTTAAAAAGTAATGGTGGACTTTYGATCACGATTGGATAAATAAGATGTGAATACCTTGTCATAGATAGTTCTTTCAAAGATTACATTTCAACAGAGAACATGGTATAACTCAGCCTCACAGTGTGTCACATTCTAACATCMTAAGTGAGTTATTTTTTTCTCTGTTTTCAGTTTGTGAAATTGGCAGACCTATTTTCGCAGCCACCTTTGTTTAGAAAACTGGCAAAGATAACATTAAAAACAACAAAACATCACAGTAGCTGATAGTATGGAGTTACGGATATGTGCATATAATAYATGAAATATATATGTTACATAATAGTGAAAAGAAGTTTCAAAGTACTGATTCTTTTACATATGTTTTTCATACATCTCTCATGGTTCAGTTCCCCCCCCCCCCTTTTATCCTTGTCTTTTCCACAAAACATTTCAGACTTAGCTGAATTAAAAATGAAACACTCTAGGGAACGGTGCTCCCTGAGGTATATATGACTGTGAAGCACTGCAAACTTTTGTTGGTAGTAAATCTTAAAAGATTTGCTCAATGTATCTGATTCCCTGGAGGAATTGTTCATGAAATTTGGGGAAAAATGAAACACATTTTCAGTATAAAAAAACCAACAAAACAAAGGTAAGGTTTGAATTGTGGTTAAGCCACAAAGGTTTATCTTGCAAATAGGACTCTCTTCTATTATGCCCAGCATTTTAAATTTTAAAGAAGTGGGGTTTATGTGGCCCTTACAGATTCAGAGTTGTAATAACCTTTTTTTTTTGAGTCCCCCCTTTTTTTCACTTGTTATATTTTATTTTGAATATTGTGAAATTTAAATGAGGTTTCGTGAACATTTAGCTAGCTTTATACACTGTCTAGTAAAAAAAGAGGAGTTGGGAAGTTTCTTCTGTGTTGTTTCACTATCTTATTTTTTGAAAGACTGGATACTTGAATATGATACTTAAATTTACTGGTTTCTGTTTTTCAAATTTGTTTACATTAAAATGTTTTGTTTAGMCTGCTCTCCCTTTCTGAAAACATTTCTAAGATTTATCTTTGGGATTATTAATGCCATGGATGTGATGAGTATTTGTGTAATGGTGACTGTCTTGTCACATGCCATTCTTTAATTTGAAGTATTAAAGCCTCGTCATCTCCTCCTCTCTTTCCTTCATCCAGTACATGTAGCTCTCCTTTGAAAATGGCAACTTCTGTTCCTTTTGTAGTGTTTGATTCTTTGAATCTTTTCTTCATGAGTATTTGAAAGTGATWTTTAACACTGGAGAATTGCTTTCTTTTCCTTTGGAGTGATTCAGATGGAGTTTCTGTGTCTGGTGTCTGTTTCATTTTTCTTCAAAAGATAGGTTGTTTAAGCAGTAGTATGTCTTACCTTTTTAACTCTTGAAAGGCTCTAAATTAGATGGAAAGTAATACAGTGTTTGTAGTACTTCTTCACCTGGGGAAGGTATGCCGAGAAACAGCATTTGAATTGTAGTCTTTAAAAAGTATAATAAAATATGAGATTTCAAAACACAAAATCCCAGAAAAGGTACTTTGAAGCCTAGGTTCATATGAAACAAAATTCTCCAAAGTGTGAAGAAACGTTGCTGAAAATACATTTTGTACTATTCACAGAATTGAATTTGTCTGCTGTTGATGTGATTGCTTTATGCTGAATGCAAGTGCTTCATAGCTCCCATGTTTTGATTTTTTTTTTTTTAGGAAGAACAGAATCGAGGCAAGCCCAAYTGGGAACACCTGAATGAAGATTTACACGTACTTATCACTGTGGAGGATGCTCAAAATAGAGCAGAAATAAAGCTGAAGAGGGCTGTTGAAGAAGTAAAAAAGTTACTGATACCTGCAGTAAGTATTTGTATGCAATCCTTTGATTTCCATTTTCAGGAGGTACTTTTGACATACTACTAACATACTATGGGTGTAAGAGTAAGCTTACAGAGGGGCATCCTGGAAAGAAGTTCAGATACGATTTTATAATATTCTAGTGATCTTTACACCATCTCATACCAGATTGAATTATTCCTTAGAACTGAATAGTATTTTAGGAAGACATTGTCTTTTTTTGCCTCTTTTAGATGCAAGTATAGGAAATTGTTATCACCTTTAAAAGGCAATGCTGAACTGTTACAAACACTAGTTTTCTCTCTTCAGTGTTAGTATTCTTCACTTTCAGGCTGGGGGAATATGACATGCTTTCATGTTTCACTTTGAGATGATTCTGATACTTTAAGAAAAGAAGGCATGTTTTTTTAGATCATCCCATTAAACATTTTGCAAAAAAAGAACAAAATCCTTTAGTATCAAAAAACTTTGCTGTCAGTGTACTGGAAAAATAAACGTAGTGAAACTGGAAAATGGGTTGTCTTTCTCATTTCCTGATAATATAAACTGGCTTCTGCACAGCTAGATGACTTAAATCCTATTTCAGAGACCAGAATTACCCTGTTAGAGCCCTTCTCTTAGATCTTCTCTGTATTGTCACTCAGAGTAAGGTGATTCAGTGTGGCTTTATAGTCCATCCCATGCCCTTGACTTGCATCTTGTGCTCATTTTTACCACCACTTTCRTGACCCTGTAAAATGAAAAGAATAAATTATATCTTTTTTCAGTGGTGGAAATTTTTTTCGTATTACAAGGAAAAATTGAGACTATCTTGTGAAAGAAAGTAGTAGTTGCTATTAAAAGACATACTGATTTTGGGTACTTAGTGAATGCTAATAGATGCTGGCTGTGAGGAAACTTGTGGTGACACATTCTGTCTCTATAAGCAGATTTATTCAGAAGACATTTTTAAAAGTTACTAAAGATAGACTTAATTTCTGAATTATCAAAAAATGGTAGAATATTAATAGGAGGTATAAAAAAATGTGATTTAGACCTCTTGACACTGCACATTGTCAGTTTCTGAAATAGAGTAGATCTTCAAAATTTATTCATTAAAGAGACCTTGAACACATTAGAATTGAGTTTGCAGTCAGGATTTATATGGGCAAAACTTTGAAACCCTTATGTTCATTCTTTAGCTACTACTTAGCAAACAGTTTAAACAACAAACTTCCGTGTGAATGAATTTTATCACRTATGTTCATTCTTCTACCTTCCTCTTACTGATGAATAATACGACTCAAAGGCCAACTTCAGGATGACCTGATGGGTTACAAACCCCCAGTATGTCTGATGTGTGTACTCTATGTATATTTGCGTTATGCTTGTTTTGTGTAGCTCTTGGATGGGTGTGTAAGCCTCAAAAAAAAAAAATGTAATGCATTGGCTGTTTTTTCATTGTGAAGTTGACAGCCAGCTCTCTATCTTGAAAGTACTCTGCCTCATTTAGTAGCTTAGTCAGTTGGGGAAGCTATGTAATCCTGATTACAGAAATAATTGTTTTTCCGCTTTAATAAAAATAACGACACAGGGCTACCTATTGTCTGAATAGTGCATCAGCTGAAATACACTTGTCAGTTCATTTCATTATCATCTTCATCTATTATGCATAGGCATAAGAGATTTGGGTGGTGTATATTACTTGCACAAGAGTTAAAGGTCTTGTGCTCTTAATTTCTCAAAGTTGTGCCTTGCTGAAACAGGTATATGTAGTACATAGTAATGAATTAGTATACAGGTGAACTTTGTTTTGTACTACCCATTGCATCTGTTCAGTTAGTATAAAAAACTGGAGTTGTGGCTTCAGCCAGTTTGAGAGCTGAAAAACTCAGTATGGTATTAAAATAGGAATTGAGAACTTCTGTGAGGGAAGTAATAAAACTTCAAATAATCAGTATAAGCATGAGGGGAAAACAGGAAATCCTAGTGGATTATAACAGTGTGAGTGAAACTCTGGTTGTTGGAAGATTCCAAAGATGCTCTAAAATATAAGAATGGAAAATTGAAAATTCCTATTAATGTGATAGAATATCTGCAACTATTACTGTTTTTCAGAGAAATGTCAAAGGATTAAAATTGGAAAAAAAAAGTAAATGTATTTGCCTTCTATTGCTGTCCAACTTGATTAAAATTTGAGATTATGCAAGAGAGAAGACTCATTTTCATTCTTGCCATACAGTGTGACAATGCTTTGGGTTTATGAGATAAATTTCAGAACCATGTTAGTGTTCTAGTGTTAAGATATGGAAATTAGTTGCTAATTTCTTCGAATGAGCAGTTATTTTTGTACTCAAGATGTTAAAAAGCCTAATTACATTTTCYAGCAACAGTGCACAAATAGGCGCGTTTCTTAAAATGGATTTCTGTTTGAATGTACTTGGGTGAACAGAGACTATTTCTGTACTAAAGTGTGTTTCTTACGTTTATGAATCTGGATCATTAGTGATTTTTTTTTTCCCTGTGGATGTGAATTAATATTTTCCCTTTTCACTTGCTCTTGCATTTTTACCAAGATAGTGGTACAGTCAAGTAGTTTATCTTTAGAAATGAAAAGCACAACTTGAGACAGACTGGCTGAACAAGCCATTTTTTTCTCCTTGAGGAGAAAGGCCAACATTTTTTGTTAATCATTATTCATTTGTATTTCATTTACATTTCTTCAGTATGAAACAATTTTTAAAAAATTTTTGKCTGTACTTCAAGTTCCACAGGACTGATTCTTTCCTCTTCCTGTAGTTCAGTGAAATRCTGGTCTTTATCTAGACCTGCAAGATCATACAGTATTACTTTCCATGTTTTTCTTTGGAAAAAAAGAAGGATTAATGAAGCAGTCTGCAGACTTTGGGGATTACATTAAGTTGTACTGTCCTTATGCCTGCTTCTGAAGTGACTTCCAGATTATTGATCTCTTTTTATTGTGGTAGCATTGAGAGTTTTTTTTTTTTTTTTATTTGCAAGAGTTTCATGGGAATGGCTGGTTCTCTTGCAAAGGAAAGACAAAAGGTGCTCTGGATGGATTGTTCACTGCAGAACAGAAGAAAAAACTCAGAACCCATTTGGGGGGACATACATAATCAAGAAGTATAGCATAGGGAACCAGAGCATCCTTAATGGCTTGATGTTATTCTTTGAGCTCCTGGGTTGTAGGGCTGAATTCCTCTGCCAGATGTATGTTAGGCTTCTGCACTTAGAAGTGTTGAATAAATTCTTTTAGCAGAATGAGTTTATCTAGATAYTCCTTTCATTTTACAGATGACCAGGTCTCATTTAATTACTAATTTGTCTTACACTGGCTGTATTGGATGAGGCACTTATGACAGAATTCAAATTACAAACACATAGTCTTTACCTCTTTTTGCTTTTGATTCCATGATTCCTTTCTGAGGAAAAGATCATATTTCTGGTTTGTGCTTAGCTGTTCTAAATTGGTCTGAAATTAGTGTTAACTCAGATTTTTTTATTGCCTTTCCTGTGTTGAGGCAGCTATAGTTTACTTGGTGTCCGCCTCCATCTTCTTGGAAGACAGCTGCAACATGAAATTATTCAGTGATGCTCCCTGTCAAACTTGGTATATCATTTGCCACTACTATGTAGAATTTTAAGGTTGTGATGGGTAGGAAATAATGTTTCAGCAGAAGSTTGTTTCATTTTGCTCCTACATTTGGATCTTGCTGGTAATAGTGATTTTAGACTTTTCGGTCTTGACCATCTTTAAATTTAACTTATGGAAAAGTTAATGTGCTGTATACAGTATRATTTTTACAAATTGGAGCATTTTTTATAGTGATGCTTAGTATGTACTCATTCACGAACTGTCCTCCTTCTGTTTAGTCCCTGTTACTATAGATGTTATTTTGATGGCATTTCTGTTTTTAGTCACTTCTATATACAAGACATTTTAAGACTGTTTAACCATGCTTTAGCCTTAGTTAAAAAAAAGAAAAGAAAGCAGTTATTACAGTAATGCTGTAGATAATTTGTTGCTCTGTAATTAAGACCAGCAAAAGCTTGACATTTGAAAGCTATTAGGAGATTACATTTTTTTTATTAGCCATCTAAAAAGCCACAATAAATTCTGCATGCAAGTTTGACTTCCCTGAATCGTTCTTTCTAATTCATTCCTGCATGGTGTGTTGGTTTTACATTTTTGCTTTCACAAGTGAGAATATAGTGCTGCCTTCTGTAGTTTCCCCATTGAAATGTTGGGTCATGCTGTGCAGTCCATTGTTTGCTGCTTATTCAGTTAAAGTCACAAAATTAGTAAGTGATACAGTTGCAGAGAAAGAGCTGTCCTTAAGAGCATTTTAGGAAATTCCTACGTTTTATCTGTTTTGTCAGTTCCAATACAAGCTCTGTGTGTCRGGCAGTGAAGCAGCCAAACGCCTTGGCAGTGACTGCCAGATAAACTTTATTGATGTGGGGGAGAGGTGATAGCGTATTATTTTTAGTAGCATGAAGCGGACCTAATGTTTCCATGACCATATGAACTGAGGGCTGCTGCAGTCCTGCCATTCCTTCATGATTTGCTGTTCCTGCTTCCTGTTTTGCATCAGAAAGCCCTGGCCTTCATCTGACCGCATGGCGAGTCCATTTGGTGCAGAGTTTAACCTGACTGACTGACTTGCTGTGGTGTCAGCCCTGGTTTAGCCCTGACAGAAGTGACAGCATGAGAACAGGCAGACGGGAAAACGGTGCTACAGCAGGCCACCCTTATATAAACACCAATTTCTGTAGAGCTGCAGTATGTTCACCTGCAAATAGCATGAGATTGAAATACCCTGCTGCAGAGAGTTTCTGATTATGACAGTGGGAAACAAAAGAGGTTTGTAGGTGTTCCTCTTTGTGCTTTCCACAGTCCAGTATGTCTAGTACTGGTAATTTCAGTAGCTTATTCACAAAATGAGTAAAGAATTACGGGAGTTAGTTTGAGAAGTCTTTAAGTAAATTTCTGCTATTCACTT